CCAAAACCTCCAAATTCACGGTTGGTTAAAGTTAGACCGGCTCCTTTGACTCAAGTCAACCGTCCTCCACCTCTACCTCCGGTTCAATCGGATCCAATTGCCTCTGAACCGGTACAGCCTGTTAACCAATTTTCGGTTAACCCGGCTGAGTCTCCAATCTCAGCTTATATGCGTTACCTAATTGAATCAAGCCCTGTTGGAAACCGATCTCAGCCACAAAACCAAAACCCGGTTCAACCATCGACCGGTTTATTTCCTTCACATCAAACCGTTCCTAGTCAAATGTTATTTCAGTCACCAGCTTCACAGTATGCTTTGTCGCCGGCGCCGAGATCGCCATTTCCCTTATCGCCTAATTTCGCGTTTTCGCCACGGTTTCTAGGTGGTAACGAATCGCTACCTCCACCTTCACCGGGATTTTTCTTTCCGTTGCTCAGTCCATTGTGGAGAAACCAATAGCTTCATAGTAATAATGTCTTTGAATTAATGGATACAAGTTTTGTGTAACGAATGCAAAATGGACATTTTGTTTTGTGTCTTCTAATGTTGAATTTGGATTAATTATCGGTATAGTATTCAACATCTATGTGTTATTTCTTTTTAAAATAGCTTTTAAAAGCCGTAAAAAAAGGTTATAAATAGCAAGTATTATGAATTTAAACAAAGTTTAGCAAAAAAAAAAATTACAAGGCTACAAAACTATCACAAAAAAAGTTTGTGTTAAATTGAGACAAAATGATACGTATTAAACTAATAATTTTAATTTTTTTAAAATGAATTGGTTTTCAAAGTTTAGGCAACCTTTTTTTTATGTCATCTGGATTTTATTACTGGAATAATACAGGGATGAGATACGTTTTTGGAATACGTTTTTTGGAATACTAAACCGACGGAATACAAAATCCGCAGAGTCTAAACCTTGCGTAAAGGAGACATGGATAAAACCAAAATACAAACAAATTAAAACATAAAAGGGATGTAGTCCCTAGCATGAGATCAAAAGAACCACAACTAACGATCAAGCCTAATCCAAACAAACCTTGCCAACGAGACTAACTAAACAAAGCGGGAACAAACGCGAAAGCATATCGACAGGGCTAAGAGACCCCAACACACGAAATGCGGCTCCTTCCATAGCGAATAAGTATACCTAACCAAATTGAGATACCTATGAGACTATTCTGGCAACCCTATTGCCATAATTATACAAAAAGAAGTTCGTGTTAATCATTAAAGTCGTGGTGCCAAAAAATTATGTCTAAAGGCATGATTATGGATGGTAAATAAGGATAAATATAAGAGATTTTTAATACTATAAAATTATTATATTTACCCAAACCATTTTTGGATTTTTAAATATAAAATCTATATTACTCATATTTAGTGGGTAAATATAACATA